AGAAATATTTTATATGTTTGTAAATTACTTAATTACGATTAAAAACGTAGATAATCCTCCATTATTTTGTTTCATTAATGTTTATTGCTGAATGATGCAATGTTTATTCATTGCACAATGAATACATAATAATATCAATGATGAGAATTACTAATTGTGAACCCCTCTAAAATTTCAATATTTATGATAAATAGTTTGCACATGTGTATATGTATTGTACTGCATTAGCATCACTTATAAAATAGATAACAAATAAAGAGCACTAATAAAGAGCACTAATAAAGAGCACTAAAGATGTAATGAATTATATTCACATGATTGTTTTAATTATGTTATGATCAACAAGTGTTGATTGATAATAAATATTTTGATCTTACATAAAACATATTTTACAAATGAAATTAAAATAAAAAAAGTAAAATTTATTTATAACATATGTTCTATGATTTATATTTAATATGAACATATATCAAGTATAATAATTTTAATTTTTATTTTTTAATTTTATTTCTTTATTTCGTAATCTCATTTATTTAGTTTAATATCATTTCATTGAATCAAAACATATTAATTTTTCTCTGTATACTATTCTTAGATGAAATAATAAATATAAGTGAATTGTTTATGTTAATCATAGCTGAATCACTTGACATAATAACAATGATATTAATTAGATAAGAAAAATTAGACAAATTTGAATCTTCTGAGATAAAACAATTTTTGATCGAGCCATCGCATTATATTATTCCACAATTCTGATTTCAAAGATAAATAAAACCACGAATTTTACCATCGTAAAATAAAAATTAGAGAAATTAAATTTATCGTATGTTCGTTTAATTGAACGAGAATTTTACGACAATTTTAATAAGCAAGAGGAATCCACAATCACCATTATCTCTTACATATAAAATGATGTTCAAATACTTGGTAAGTAGCACGCATCAATATTTCGTGCAACATCAAAATCTACGTAAAACATGTATTGACGCAACATCTAAACGTCAGCGAACAATAAGGGCTCAAGCCGCGCATTAAAACAAAACGAAACCATCTCTCCACTCATATTTTTCATCGGTAGGGAAAAAAAAAAAAAAAAAAAATAGAACAAATTTCATCCCAAACAATAAAAGGAAGATTCTCTATTCGAGGTGTATTCAGAAGCGTACCATGTTAGGTCAGTCAGAAAGTCCTGTCGGTTTTTTCCTCTTATTCTGGGACAGGATTAATCCTTGAAAAAAAAAAGTATTTCGAAAACTAACAATCAAAATACATCTTTTGGATGAATTTAAATGATGAATTTAGTCAAGTTATTGTTAAATTATTATGTGAATGAAATGATTGAAAAGAAACTCGAAGAATTCAAATATCTCAAAAAGAATTTTAAAGAGAATTCTTTTAATATTCTTTAACATTCTTTAATATTTAGGTTGATTTCTCGATATAAAATTTTAATATTATATTAACACATAGTTGCACGTAATTGAAATATATCTTCTTAATATGATGAAACAAAAATTTCTTTTTGGTATTTTTGAAATTTAATAAAAATTATCTTTTAAAATAGATTATATTTAAGCTATTTGATTAAATTATAATTTAATTAAATTTTTGTTTTTTCTTTATTGTAAAAATAATTTTGGATATAAAAATTTCAACTGAATTTAGAATTCTTATTTATATTGTGAACATTGACATAATAAAAATACCTTCAATTCGATTAATTTACATTGCTATTTTCCATTCATGTCCACTTCTATATTCAAAAATGAATATAATTGAAATGTCTCGAGATCGTATTCTTGGTAAAAAAAATTTCTACGTACCATCGTCATTCGATCGATTAATGCTCGATTTCTCTTGTAATCGTGTCCATCGAGCGCCATCTAGCGTCGAAGAACAGATCGTCAGCCACTCGTGCACAAATCGTACGAACGAAGTAGAAAGATCGACAGGGGGAAAAGGAACAAAAGGGAGTTTGAGCAGCGTAGCGTTAAGAAGTATTGACAAGTGCTAAGCACGCCACTCGGAAGCTGTTAACCACAAAGCTGGTTTCTGGGACCGTTGATTCTTTCATGGCGCATCATGGGTAATGGGCACATTGGTGGAATCAAGTATGTCGATTTGTTAATGAATGCTAGAATAATAGAATAACGTAGACCAAGTTGAAGATCTGATGATTCTCGCAAGCTAACTATTTTAATTTCGAAGATTTTAACTGTGGAAGAAAGTAATTTCTTTTTGTTGTTCGAGTATTTTATATTATAATTTAATTTTTAATTATATCGTAATATTAAATATATCATTTTATATAAATAATAAGAAATTGATTAATACGAAAATTAAAAATTATCATTAATTAAAGAATTGTTTTAATGATATTAGATCAAAACATTGATCTCTTGTTAATATATTAGATTTATTGATCCATATTCTTTTTTTTCAATAATAAAAACTGATTCAGATATGTATCTATGTATACCTATTGAAATTATATGTGTATTTTCGAAAGATTTGATTTAATTATCGACTAAAAAATTTTAAAACTTATTGTAAAATTTTAAATGTTCCTGTAAATGAACAGAGATACATCTAATTAAGATAAACAGAATCTTTTTTGAATAATAGAATCAAGTATAAGAATAAAAAACGAAAAGGAAAAACTTGGGAAAACGAGAGAGTAAAAGTAAAAGTAACGAAGGTATTGTGGTTTTAAGGTAAAAATAGGACTATTGAGTAGCGTTATTATTAAAATTGCAGAGAATTACTTGGAAAAATGTTATGATATAAATATTACAACGTTTTAAACAATATTAATTGAAGGAATTCCGCTTAATGTAAGTATATTGCGAACAATTGGATAATATGAAGCACCTTCGAACACTGAAAGAATAAAATATACCGGTCGAGAGGGAAGTGGCTCGAAACCAAATTGGAGCACTGTAAAGCTTGAAAAATTAATAACAAAAATGCTGCAATTTGCCGCACAGATGCGGCACTCCTTTATGGCGCAAATTTTCTGAAGATGAACTCTCGAAGGGAATCGTTCTATCACAATTTAATTGAACGACTTTTGTTTTATATTTTATATAAAATAATATACATGTACATACATATATTTATACTTACATATACTATATATATGTATACAATTTACGTTTTACATACTTTATAATTAATGAGAAAAATATTGTGAATCAATCGAAGCTGAAATCGTGCAGTAATTCAGCGAATGATTGCAATAAAATATTGAATTATTAACATTATGTTATTTTATATTTTCAACAGGAACATTTGAAGAAATAATTAACATTTTTAAAAAAGAAAAATAATGATTTTTACAATTGAATTTAAAACTTAATTTTATGTTGAAAGCAATTGCAATTTTAAAAATAATTTTTTAATATATAAAATGACTATCCACTACCAATTTTAATTTCTATTCATTCTAACTTAAACATTTTAACTTTCGATTATTTTATAAAATATTTTGTCTTTTTAATTAATGATCCTTTTAAAAATAGCCATTTGAAAAAATTTATAATAAAAAATAATAAAACATTGAATGGGATAAGATCTAATATCAAATAATTTTTCTTGTATAATGGACAAGATTTTACAATTTGCTAATATTAATTATTCATTTTTTATCAAGATTACATGTTATAAAAATTATGTTATAATATTTCTAATAACTTGATTTTATTTTAAAAATTAAATTTACAATAATATACTATTTTTTCAATCCATCAAATAGTTTTTTTAGATTTGGATTTTATGCATGGAAAAAAATTTGAAAAAAATTCATTATTATATTTTTAAATAACTGTTTTTGCATAATTAGATATTGAAAAAAAAATTAAACCATATTTTAATATCCGATTGGGATAATAATAATTACAGAATTAATAATAAACAATTATTTATAAGACAATCTAACATCCCAAAAATTTTATTATACCCACATCATATACCACTACATCCTACACCCGATTCAAACAAAAAGCAATCTCCCTAAATTAATTCCGATATCTACGAATCGAGAGACAAAACCAAAATTCAATCCGATCGATCAATCAGCCAGTTTTGCGGAACGATTTCGATGCAAGAGACATTCGATACAGAAAACAACAGCAATAACAACATCGACAGACCAGAGGCGGATAAAACAGTATCGAGGATCGAGATCAATCACGAAAAGAGATGCCTAGTTCGAGGGAATCATTTCTAAATCTCGTTGTTGCTCTTTCCGGCTTCCAATACCATATATCGAGAAGGTTCACGTATGAAGAAAAAGGATCCGAAACATAAACGATATTCGAGATAGGCACAAAAAGGAATCGAAGCATCAGGGCGTTAAGAGGACTCTGAGGAGAGAAAACGGTATCCTCCCGCATACGGTCCTCTGTTGACTGAAGCGACTTAAGTCAACGCCGCGCTTACCTATGGTCTAGCACACTCAACCTCTCCTCGTCGTGCATC